TTGGTCAGCCGGACCAGACCTGGACAGATGACCGTAGACCGAGCTTCCGGACCTCCTGGACTGACCAAACTTGGTCCGGGGCTGACCAAACTTGGTCAGCTTCAACGCACTGAAAACCTCTTTTCGTGCTCGTTTCGGTCAAATCTCGTTTCCATTCTTCGGATTCTTCACGTAAAAGTCCATCCCTATTGGTGTGTGACCCTGTAGGCCATTGTAAGTGGTAGTGACTTTAGGAACCTTTCCCGAACCACAAGTCATGGTTAGCCTCTAGCAAGACGCCATGACCACCCATTTAGAATTGAGTTAGAGGTGATCTAACCAAGGCATTAACAGCTCGAATTCCGATCCTTTGTCTCACGATATCATAAGTTGAACAAGGGCATGGTTTGAGCCACCTCTCAGACTCGCACTCACCAAATAATGAGAACACACTCACTGAACGAAATAGACTAAGAAATTATGCTCATGCTCTCTAAAGAGATGATATGCACTTGCTTGACCCTCTATTTAAACTCTTCTGGTTCGTATTTAGATCTCCATGAAGTGATTAGATCGACTTCTCCTTGATTCTTGCTGATTTCGAGTCTATCTTCAAGATCTCATCTTATCTCTTGTTTTTGACTCTATCTCTTCAGCCTTTGACTCTATCTCTTCAGTCTTTGACTTTATCTCTTCAGTCTTTGACTCTATCTGAATCTCGTCAGTTGCATCTCAGATTTGCTCGAGTGCTATCTCGCCGGATTCTTCACCTGAAATCTCTCTTAAGTTGTTGAACCTGCAACAACCTTTTAACAACTAAAAATAACATGTGCGAATAATTGCACTAACAATCTCTCCCTTTTTTGTTATTTCAGATCATGCACACAAACACGAATCCTTCAACTGATTTCATCAAGGTTCAAATCAAACACCAAAAACAGAGTCATCACACAAACCCCCATAAGTCATCAAAACACAGAGTCATCAAAAACATAGAAGTTCAGATTATCATCTAAGCAAAAGTTAGAAACGAAGGGATGAGTCATCATCCGAAGGACTCTTGGCTTTCTTGTCTTCCTGCTCGTTCCTGACTTCTGAGATGTTTCTACCTTCTTAGGAGTCGGCTTAGGCATCTCAGAATCCTATTCTTCGTCCTCCTCCTCCGAGTCTTCTTCTTCTGAGTCGAGATCTCCTTCTACTTCCTCAAGTTCTCCCCCTGTGGGCATGAATGAAATAATCAAAAACAAAGTTATCAAGTTGAGGAGTACCTGATCGAATAATGAACACATTACTCAGGGTTGCTTCGATGTATTCGTGGACTGTTGCACGGATTTTCTGACAATGTGTTGCCTGCTTCCTTAGTCCGAGCTCCATCTTTATCAGTGCTTTCTCTGCATCCTTGAGAGTCTCCAACATAATGAACACATTACTCAGGGTTGCTTCGATGTATTCGTGGACTGTTGCACGGATTTTCTGACAATGTGTTGCCTGCTTCCTTAGTCCGAGCTCCATCTTTATCAGTGCTTTCTCTGCATCCTTGAGAGTCTCCAACATCTTCTTGTAGTCATTCTTTCCTTTTCTCTTCTTCCTTTTGATTCTTGACTCAACCACCAGAGGTTTTTGAATTACCTCGGTGTTCTCCTTTGGATCAATGAGTTCCGGGCACTACTTAGTGAGGATGCTTTGAATTAAGCAGGGATAAGGTAATCTGAACCTTGCTCTGAAGTTCAGTGCTCTCTCCAGAATATGATCGAAGATCATGTTTCCATAGTTGATCTTGATCCCTTTCTTCACACAGTAGATGAGCACTGCTAGCCTCTTGTGAATCAGACTTGATCGCTGGGTTGGTAACCAGTTAGCTCTGGCTATTTTGAACAGTACTGAAGCCTCGAAGTTCAGCTCTACTGGGGATATTTCTCCTTTCCTCTTTTCATAAAAAATGTTAGTGAGAGCTATCTCCAGCTCTTTATGGTCAATCTCCCTGTCCAGCTCGTCCATGGTGGTCACAACTGTGTTCTTCAATCCCAAAAACTTGTTGATTACTGCTGGAGAAAAATGCAGTATCTTCCCTCTTATGTACACCCTATGGTACATTGGATCTCCTGCCTTCACAATCTTCTTAGTGATGTTTGCATAAAATTCTTTGATCAGGATTTTGCTGTGTGGACATGCATAGGTGACTGTTTCTTCTAGACTTAGACGTTACAGGATATCCCATATCCCTTGCTCCTTGAGGTTGCTGACATTCACATTTCTCTCCACAATCGTGTTGAGATTCTTCATGTCACTAAACCTTTGTTCAGATTTCTCATCAACAAAGTGATGAGACATGCACAGGCTTGCCAGTAATTCCTCATCTTCTGACCCAGAAGGAGAACTGGGGATCTCACTTTCTTCCTGAACTTTTCTCTTCCCCTTCATCTTCTCCTTTTGGTATTCCTTAGAAATCTTTGAAGTTTTTGCCCGGGGCATATCTTTTGCTGGTTCAGCCTTCCTCTTCTCAGATTTCTTAGGAGTCTTTTGCTCAGTAATCACCAAGGCAGGTTGTGATTGTCTTTCTTTAAACCTTTTTAGGTGGATTTTTTGCAGTCACCACTGGTTTTGCAGCCACCTGAGATCTGGTTCGTGCTCTCTGTTCAGCAATCACTCGAGAGTCAGAACTCTTGCCCTTTTTCTCAGCGATCTTTGCCTTAGGTCTCTTGCTTTCAACCTTTTGTGCACCTGAGTCCACTTCAGGTTCATCATCCTCTTTTGATTTCAGCACTTCTGTCTCCGTTGCTGAGTCCGCAACCACTTCGATTTCAGCATCCTTCGATTTCTCCTGCCGTAATTGAACTGAGGGCAGTTCCTCCATTTGTTTGGATGTATCACCCACATCCTTCCCAGATTCTACATTCTCTACACTCACATCCTTATCAAAATCTACACGCCTTCTTGTGCTTTTTCTTATCAACCTAGGCTCACTATCCGAACTTTTCTCTATATCTCTAGTAGAGTAAGTAAAGAGTTCATCAAGTTTACCCGTATCAACTTGTTCTGGAGGCAGAGAGGTTAGATCCTCAGTTTTCTTGCACTCATCTTCGATCCTAGGGTTTCCTTCCTGCGGTTCTTCTGGGATCTCCGCGTCTGTTCCTTGGATCTTCTCCTCTGGGCTTTCGAGTTCTTGGATTTCATCGCCCACTGTATCTTTCTTGCTAGTCCGTCGACTCTCCCTCGGATTTTTGCGAGATTTCTCTCTCCCCCGAAATCGAGTTAAAAACTCGATTTCGAGACCGAGCGGTCGCTCAGTTTCTCTGGCGATCGCCCGATAATTTTCTCTTTTTCTTTTTTTTTTCGAAAAGATGCGGGCGATCGCTCTTTCTGTTCGAGCGGTCGCTCGCGGAATGGGCGGTTGCCTGGTGAACTGGGCGGGCCGCTCATTTTCTCTGTAGTCCGGCGAATGCTAAAATTTTTTCGTCTCTCGTTTTCCCCCCGACGAAAGGACTTCTTTGATTGGAGTGATTTGGGAGAATTTAGAGCCTATCCATGGTGAATAAAAGAAGAAAAGAAGAAAAGAACGAGGTTCGAAGAATTTACATCCCGGGATTAACCGGGGTTGCTAGTTAAGGTCGTAGCTAGACCGATGTGGCATTCAGTCGATCGAAAAAAAGGAGAGTACAGAGGTACCTCCTCCCAGCTTAGCTTTTCCTGGGTTGTATGGTTTGATCCTTTGGGCGTTGACCGTGAATGACCCGCCCTTCCGTTGTCGAGTTCCACCGCTCCATGTGAGGTGACGTGCTTAATGGTGAACGGTCCCGACCATCTCGATTTCAGCTTTCCTGGAAAAAGTTTTAGTCGGGAATTAAATAAAAGCACGAGGTCACCTTGTTGGAAGTTTCGGTGGAGGATGTGGCGATCATGCCACTTCTTGGCCCGCTCCTTGTAGATTCGTGCGTTCTCGTACGCATCCAAGCGAATTTCCTCCAAGTGGTGGAGCTCTAGCACTTGTTTTTCTGCTACGGTTTTCCAATCGTAGTTCAACGCCTTAATCGCCCAATATGCCTTATGCTCTAACTCGACGGGAAGGTGGCAGGCTTTTCCGTACACGAGTTGAAACGGAGTCATCCCGATCGGTGTCTTGAATGCTGTCCGATATGCCCAAACCGCACCTTCAAGCTTCAAAGCCCAGTCTTTCCTTGACTTGGCCACTGTTTTCTCCAAGATCTGTTTTATCTCCCTGTTGGAGACCTCCACTTGGCCACTCGTTTGGGGATGATAGGGAGTGGCTACTCTATGGTGAACACCATATTTAGTCAATATGCC